CTTTTGATGCTTTCTCCTTTGTATTTATTATAAAGATTCTGATGATGATTTGTGATTTGTAGTGTGCCTCATGGGAAGTTCTCTCAGGCTTTGTCAATTTATCAATCAGTTATTTTCAGTTGAACATTCTTATGCATTTTGTTTAATATATAAAAGGTTGTGATTCATTTGATTTTTTTTTTTACGAAAAATATAAACGTAAAGGCAATAGCATGTTTATATAGATATATGAAGACAGTAAGAAAGTAAATTATATGATTTGGTCAGTTGGAGAAAAACTTTTTGTTTTTTTTAGTCATCGGAGAAAAGCTTAAATTTGCATTGCAAGAAGTACATGATAAACGCTAAGAGCCAACAAATTATCACAATGCTCATCACCGACCGCCGCTGCCACCAGCTCTCTCTGTCTTCTGCCACCGCGGCATCTCCTTCTCCCTCTTCCCATTCCTCCTCTATCATCTCGTTCCCTCCGGCCACGTTCCTCGCCAACAACTGGCAAATTTCACATATTCTACAACCAAATTTACTTTGCTGTATTATTAGTTCAAGTATCGTTTCCAAAGTTTACTAGCTACCCTAACATATCCCTATCTTTGGTCTTAGGCTAATCCAAAAATAACTTTTATGTAGAAATTTAGTAAACCTTTGTGATGATATTAGGCTAGAAAAATATATTCTGAAAGTATTATAGATTCAATGCTACCTAAGGCACCGTATGGGTGTTAAATTTGTTAAGTTTATGAGCTTCTAATTCACATTTCACAATCAATTGGTAGAGAGAGGATTAATTAGTATATGTATTTTTAATTTTATATAATGAAATCGAACATCATATTTAAAAACTTTCAATTACATAAAGTTTAATTAAATCAAAACAAGGATAACTACATAGATTTTGTTTTGTCAATAATCAATTAGTTAGTAGAAATAAAAGAGAGAAACTAAACAGAAATTAAGGAGAAGATATAGCAAGAAAGAACATACTCGTCGCCTTTGAGTTTAAACCAAGTCTCAGCACATTGTCGATGAGCAAACGCCAAATCTCCCTTACACGAGCATCCCAACTCAATCAAATCCTGACCGTGCGATCCAACCTCAAGTTGGCAAACCCTACACACTCTCTCCTCTGACTTACTCACCGAAGACACATGACTCCTCGAGCACTCGTCGCAAGATTCGAACGTATTTGAGTCGAAGCATGAATCGTCATCTTCACAGCCGGTGAAACACTCGCTCACGTCACTCTCGGCAAACGATAGCCTTCGATCTCCGATCGTTCCTTGTTCTAAATCGATGTGGAGCATTATGCGACAATTATACTATCAAGACAAGAACTAATAAATCTCGGAAATCCACAATTTTGTTTAAAAAAAAAAAAAAAGAACTAATAAACATTTTTCCTAAAAATATATAAAAGGAAATAAGCTTCTATGCGTCAGTCAAATTGAGGGATGTTTCCTCTCTAAGAAGATTCTGTACATTCGATTTTACTTTTTTTTTTTTGCTATATATGAATGAGAAATTTGACACTAAATTCAACGGCCCATTTAATATTCTATGATCGCCAAACAATTGAATTTTTTGTCTTTGATTTCTGAAAAAAGAAAAATTCCGTAGGAGTATGCATTCATTTCATATATTATGGTGAAATTCAAAAGGTAATTTATCGAGACGACGTTTCTCTCCTCCATCGAACAACGGAAAAATGGAAATTCATAGATGGGTAGATATATGTATTTTCCATTTTTGGATATGCTTTAGACACATTCTCGCCTACCGAGCAATTATGTATGTATGCTAATTTTTTCATTAGAAAATTTCCAGAAGGAAAAATTTAATTGTGTAAAGAAACCTTCATTCATATTTTTTTTTCTTATAAAAAATACCATAGAAAAACTTAGGGTAATATAGCGAAGAGAAAAATATACATTTGATCGATTTTTGAAACATGCTTTTTAGATGGGGTAACGGAGTTGGTCGACTACCCATAAATGGCATATATATTTATCGAACAAAAAAACAAAACAATGGTATAAAAAAAGTTGTTATTGTATGGGAAAATGTTAAGAAGTACAGAATCAAAAATCAAACTCACTCTGTATCTTCTCCTTTCATACGTATGTAAGATACGGTCCAATATATATGGATCATCAATAGAAATATTAAAGATGAATTATGACACACACGTAAGTAATAACATTTTACATAGGAGCCGGAGCCAAAGCGGGGGATGAGGCGTCGGAGACAGGGCCTGGGGCTGCGTCGGAGACAGGGCCTGGAGCAGCCTCGGAGACAGGACCTGGAGCGGCGCCGGAGCTGAGCATTTCCAACATCGAACGGTGAGGATTTGTCCGTTGAGCATCGCACAGATCAGGTAAAAATGCACCTGCGTGTAGTCAGTTGGTACGTTACGTCAAGTTTACACTTTATATTACTGATTACCAACCTACTAACCTAGCTAAAAAAAAGTGAATGCAATAGAGAATTTACGATTATCTATATAATAATTAAGTTAAGTGAAGCATAAACATCTAGCTCTTACCAAAATTCCTTGCTTTGGCAATAAGAAACACCATAATATATGACAGTGAGTTTCATGCACGTGTAAGAAAAAAAGGACTGAGGAATCTACCAAAACACACGCACACATAGGATTCTTACTTCATTAATCAGCCATGATAAGCATCATAATTTACACATTTTCTACTTTCTATTTACGGTAATCACTTTTAAAAAAAACTTTATTTTTTTTGTAAAATACATCTTTTTCAATTTTCGGTAAATGCATTTTTAGCTAGTATCAATTTCTCAATAACGTTTGTTGCAAAACAAAATCTACAATCACCATTCAAAATTATCGCTTATATACTCGTATATAAGTATCTATATTTTTTTGTCAAAACAAATAATTTTTATTATCAAGCAAGACCTCATACATAAATATTAAAACCTTAAAACCTTTAATCTACCGGTACGTCATTTTGTTTAAACTTTTTTATACACACACCAACAAAGGTTAATGCATGAAATGAAAGACTAAACGGAATTTTATCGTACCTTCACCGGCGGCGAGATTGAAATAGAGATCAAGAATGTTAGGGCAATAGTCCAAACAAGCCGGTGAGCAAAGCTTAGCGGCGAAGCCTGCCTCCATCATTGTGTCCGATGAGATCCCTACGGTTTTCCGATCAACCCCACAAGCGGCTACACACTCATCGCTCTCCACGTGGTTCACAATCCCTTCCACCTCTACCGTGGAAGTCCGGCAAGTGTATTCTCCGGCCACATTAGCCGTCTCCAATAAACATCTTTTCCCGGAAGCAGATATTGAGAATGCGCACATATTCGTTGGCAAATTCTCGCAAATGATATCCTCCCCTACAAATATTATAGGAAAACAAAACATGCAAATGATAAATTAAATTCAAAGATTCACATAAAGGATTAACGCTTTTTTCCCCCTATAGTTTATCGTCAATATCGGTCCCATAATTGGTCACACTGTGAAATCTAGGGTTCTTCCTATGATATAAAACCTGAAACTTTTTTCCAGGCAGTTTTACTACATTGATTTCAAATCGGGAATACAAAGTAATTATACAGAGTTTTTGGAATACAAATTATTACATTAGCAAAATATGTGCCATATATTGTTCAAAACTTTTCTAACCAGGAATGCTTTGTGAGAAATAAAATTTGGAGTTGATCATGAAATAGGTAGATCTTGGGTTCTAACGATTCGAGATTTCAATATAATAGATATGTTTGTACGTACCTAAAGCCGCATGGAGAAGAGATGAGAGAATGAGAAAGATTGGCAATTTGAGGGAAGAATAAGACATTGCTTCTGGTTTTTTTTCTCTCTTTCTTCTCTTTCTCCTTTCTTGATTTTTAGGGGTTAAAGATTGAATTTCAAGGGAAAGAGTAATATAGAGAGAACGTGAAAATAGAAGCCGTATGTTGAAGAATATGTTGTGGGGATTTGTGTG